CCCCTTGGGGCCGGCCCTGTGGCCTAGTGGTTAAGTTCCCACGCTTGCTGCAGGTGGCCCAGTGTTTCATGGTTCAAATCCTGGGCACGGACATGGCACCGCTCATTGAGCCACGCTGAGGCAGTGTCCCACATGCCACAACTAGAAGGACCCACAATGAAGAATATACAACTATGTACTGGGGGGCTTTGGGGAGAAAAAGGAAAAAAATAGAATCTTAAAAAAAAAAAAAAGCGCCTTTCTTTGGGGGAAGTATGCAAATAAGCAAGGATTTTGCCTCAGGAGTTGCTGGCAGCCATTTTGCAACCATGAGAGAGAGCATACCTGACATTAGAACCAATGCTGAGGATGATGAGAACGCAGCAGAGAGAAGTTGGGTCCTGGGCACATTGTTTGAGTCCATATCAAGCCCCACCTGAACTTAGCCCCCTCTCTCAACTGTTCAGTTATGCGAGCCATAAAATTACCTGTATTTTTTTTAAGCCAGTGTGAACTGGAGTTTCTGTTATTTGCAAGATAAAGTTGTGCCGCTAATTCAAGCCTCTGTAATCAAAGCTATAGATCCTCCAGTGAGAGGAAACGGTTACCTGTTTCTGTGACGTGTAACTAGATGTCCAGCAGGGGATACGGGCAGGAGAATGGGAGGCTGTAAGGAAGGAGTTTGTTATCTGCCCAGAAGGAGTCAGAGTCCCGGCTGAAGACCACTTTTTCCTGAGGGGAGACGCTGTGCCCCAAGTGATGGCATTAGGGCCATCCCTCTATGAATTGGAGAAGGTAGACTAGTTTGTCTCAGTCTGATCTCCCCCTACTATTTCCATTTCCTCTCTATAAAGTGAGGATGTTGGGTTTGGTGAGGTTCAAGGCTTATCCAGCTCCAGCATTCTACACATCCGCATTTCTGCAGAAAGAGCACGAGCTTTGGAACGTCACATACCTGCGGTCACATCCTGCCAGCATCAGCTGAGCAACCTCAATCAAGTTACTTAACCTCTCTGAGCCTCAGCTTCCTCAGCTATAAAATGCGCATATTGAATGTACCTTCCACACAGTGCTTTTTGTGAGGACTAAATGAAATGTCATCTATCAAGGTGATAGCACAATGCCTGGCATGTGACATATATCCTTTAAATGTCAGCTCTCCCTACCCCATCCCACCACCCTTCTCTGTAAATGTAGAACAAGGAGTTGGCCACCTCTGGCCAGTGGGCCAAGGCTGGCTCCTGCTTTTGTAAAGAAAACTTTATTGGAACACAACTGTGCTCTTTCATTTACTTATTCTCTATGGCTGCTTTCTAGCTACAAGAGGAGAGTTGAGTAGCCAGGAGAGAGACTGTGTGGCCCATGAAACCTGAAATATTTACTCTCTGGACCTTTACAGAGTAAGCTTGCTGACTCTTGATGTAGAACATAGGACCTGAACTGGTTTTAAGAATTTCAGTCGTGGGGCTGGCCCAGTGGTGTAGTGATTAAGTTCGTGCTCTCCACTTCAGTGGCCTGGGGTTTGCAGTTTTGGATCCTGGGCATGGACCTACACGCTGTTCATCAAGCCATGCTGTGGCAGCATCCCACATACAAAATAGAGGAAGATTGGCACAGATGTTAACTCGGGGACAATCTTCCTCAAGCAAAAAGAGGATGATTAGCAACAGATGTTAGCTCAGGGCCAATCTTCCTCACCAAAAAAAAAAAAAAAAAAAAATTCAATTGTTAGCAGGCAGGGGAAATTGAGAAGGTATGAAAGAACTTCTTGATGCCCTTTGAGTCTTTCATGCTGACTCTGGGGACTCGTGAGCCTTCATTCTGAGGGCAGTGACCAGTCCCTGAGGAGAATGCACCACAGCAGGAAAAAATCCCAGTGAAATAATGGAAAGCTGTCCAAGATTCAAACTCTCCCCAGCATTTGAGGAATGGGGCCAAAAGGAAGGATGTTTCTGTAGACATAACACACACACACATACACACACATACACAGACACACTGATTCAAGGAAATTATGAGTATTTTCTTTAAGTACAAAAAAAAAGTAAATGTTGCATAGGTCTCAGGTTCTGTTCTGACGCAAAGAACACACCACTTCCTTTTGGGGCAGCATTTTCGGTGGGTGTGGGATCTGGAAGGGATTATTGATGCCCAGGTCATAAACATTAGTTGATCTTGGCGTGGTTGGACAGCCCTGGGGCTGATCATCTGGAGCTGAGTGTAGTGCCCCAAGCAGGCTACCTGACCGGCTGTCTGAAACTATTTACGGCTTTCTCTGCACGTGTTACTGTCTGAGCAAATGGCACACTCTCCCGATTTATCTGTTGCTTTTCTACGTGGTACAACCCACGTTGCCTCACTATGACTGCCTCTGCAGATTGAGTGCAGTTTGCTCTCCTCTGAGCTGCACGTTGGTCTTCACAGAAGACACCCTCACTGGTAGCTCGGCTCCCTCCTCAGACAACAGGAGCTACCCAGGCCACGGAACAATGTGTTGTTTTTCTTAGCAAGACACATCTTGTTGGGTAAGGTCAGGGGCCTCAGTTCTGGGCCCTGTCTGAGTGACAAGATACCTCTCGGCAATTTGCTTGCTTGTTTTGGGGGGTTCTCTTAGCCTCTGCTTTGTGAGAGAAGCTCGCCTCTGTGTATCCCATTTTGTTCCCAGAACTTGGGGCTGGAGATCGCTCCCCATGATGAGAACACAACTCTTGGGAAAACAACTTTTCTTCTCCAGAGTTGCTACCTAGGCATTCTACAGTCTGACAACCTTGCTCACCTCCAGAGCCTGGACATTTGGGTAAGGATTTGACTTTAGGATGCCCGCCGTAAGTTCCCACTTTACTTTTCCCAGGGCATCTATTTTTTACTTTTTTTTTTTTAGGAAGATTAGCCCTGAGCTAATATCTGCTGCCAATCCTCCTCTTTTTGCTGAGGAAGACTGGCCCTGAGCTAACATCTGTGCCCATCTTCCTCTACTTTTATATGTGGGACGTCTGCCACAGCTTGGCTTGCCAAGTGGTGCAATGTCCGCATACTGGGGCATCTTTTCAAATAACCACTTAGAGTTGAGCCCAAGAAAAGTTAGTGACCTCTGCGCCCACCACCTTATAGGTAGTAGGTGCTTGCTCCCGAGGGCTCTGTCTCCTGCCTCCTCCTGATCTGGGATGGAGGACTGCCCTTCCCCTCTCAGGCTCATTGTGCCCCATTGCTTCTGGGATCTGTAAGTAAGAAGTCTTGCGACTCTGTTTCCTTTGTGTGGGTGTATTGAAACTGCGCCTTCAATCAAAAGGACCCCGGGGTTTCATTTCCCCAAAGCGGGAGCTCAGACGCTGGAGGAGCTCCCTGCCTCCCCTGTGTGTGGCTTGTGCCTCCTCACTCAGCATATTCTTGATTCAATAGGTCAGCTCCAGCTTCCCAGCACAGTCCTCCACCCCATCACCTCCACCCCACTAGAGAAGTGGCTTTGCTTAACTTGTTCTTTCTCCTTCTTTCTTTTCCTTTCTTTTTCTCTCTCCTAGACACAAATAAACTGATCATGAACTGACCAGTCTGTTTTTCATGTGTTAACTCTTTTCATCCTTATCACTATCTTATAAAGTTGGCAATACCATGATCCTTATTTTACAGATGAGGAAACTGAGGCACAGGTGGTTACATGACTTGTCCAAGGCCACACAGCTAGTAAGGGGCAAGGGTGACAGTCAAGCCCAGGATCTCTGGGTCATAACCACTGTGCTTTTCTGCTTCTCTAGACACACACACACACACACACACACACATATGCTCCTGATCCCCAGGGATCTGGACCCGGCCACTAGAAGCAGGGCATGCCCTGGCTTCCCGGGTCGGGTGAATTGCCTGTCCTGGACTTCACAGTGCCCTTTCCTGCTGGGCTCTGCCCCTGCCCAGGGCTGCCCAAGCTGCCTGATGGCAAGTCTCGCCCTCTTGTGATGATCACACAGCCTGCATTGCCCTAACCTCAGCTCCTCCAGGATCTGGGCAGGGCCACTTTAACTCCTCAGCTACCCTTTGGCACCTCCTGTGATGAGGAGCCGGTGAGCTCCTTAGGTGTAGTCCTCTGTGACACCAGAGAGAGACTCGCTGGTACAGACTGGGACACCTACCACCAGTCCTGACCCCAGGGACCCAGATGAGAGAAAAGGGATGGTAATAAGGGAGCAACATTCTCTCTTCTAGCCTAGGAACTCTGAGTGCACAAAGATGGAAGCGCTTACAAACCTTGCCTTCAAACCTGGAAGGGATTTCAAATCATTTTCTCCAACTTCCCCATTTTACGGATGAGAAAACTGAGGGCTAGAGTGGCAACGTGGTTTCCCCAAGACAGCCTTCTGGATCCCAGCAGTGCTGCCAATCCTGTCCCAGGTTCCCCTCCACATCAAATGGTGAAAAGTACATTATTGTTACTGCGCGGCTGCCTCTGGCATCAAACCATGGCAGGTATCTGATCTGGCTTTCCTGGGGACATGGTCTCTCTTAGGAAAGACATGTTGACATGGGGCCATGACCGCCATCTCTCATTCCATCTCCGTCGCAGAATGCCAAAGCCCCTCGGGCAGTGGTTCCCAGAGCTTGGCGCTCACGCCACACGTGGGTAGTGCATGAGATGATGTCAGGTGGTAAAAATTCACTTTTTAATTTTAAGAGTAATAGATTTATGTCAATGTGCCCTAGGGAAGTGTACAAGTAGACACCAAATCTACGAATGTTTATTATGCTTGTATATGACTGCTGAGGAGGGGACTCAGTAACTAATAATACATATAGTAAATAATAGCACGGGGGATTTGTTAATTGGGAAAAAATATACTACACAGAGGACTGAAGTTTGGGAAACGCTATTCTAAAGAATACCAACAATTTGTTGAAAGAGGCTTAAACCAGGGACTTGCCGGTAACGAAAAGACACACCCTCAGCCTCATTAATTACCAAAGGAATGCAGAATAAAACTAGAATGAGATACAATTTTTCACCTTTCAGATTGGTAAAGGTTATAAAGTTTGTTCTCACCTCGGCAGCACGCATGCTAAATTGAGAACGACACAGAGAGGATTAGCACGGTCCCTGGGCCCAGATGACATGCAAATGAATGACAAATCCCGTGAGGCTGTCGTGTGAGTAATCAAGTTAGCGTTATTGAAAACAGGGGCTCTTTTTTGAGGAGGAAGGAGAAGGAGAAAGTGAAATCTTTGAGAGTAAGTAAAAATTCTCTTTCTGAATATTAATGCAAAAATTCACTATAAACTCATGACATACTTTAAATATATATATTTCCTAGCTTTTTCCATTGAAAGGACTTATAAACGATGATCAACCCAATAGAAATAAACACCTCTAATACCCTGACTGAGGTCTCCAAATGCCATTTCCCACTAAAAGGAACCAGGGCTCATTGGAGAAACGGCTGATTTTGTCTCTGGGGCAGGAAATATATAAGATAAGCCTGGAACACTTTGTCAAACTAGAAAGCAATGAAGCTGTCAAAGACCGCTAGTGTGATGTCACCAAATAGCTGACATGGGGAAGTTTCTCTTTATGGACATTTTCCAGCTACTAAATGAAGAAGGAATGAGGGCATACCACCATTTGCAATCCTCTTCAATGGCGGCGAACATCACAAGAAGGGACATGACTAGACGCGAAGGCGCAATGTGCCTTCTGAGGGAAGAACACAACTCTGCCTACGAAGCGGTCTTACCCCTCCCCATAGAAGACTCTAGATCTAACTACCAAGTCACTGGAGGGACGGGTTAAAAGATACCACGAGGTTACAATCAGCAAAACACAGACTGTGAGAAACTCTACAGGACAAACCATCTAATTTCTTCAACAAATGGACTACAAGGACAAACGAAGGTGGAGGTTGGGGGAGACATGGAAGGAAAACTATACATTAAAAAAGGCTTAGAGACTATAATCTATGGAATTCTTTTGAATCGTGATTCAAACAAACTACTAATAAAATTACGAGACAATTGGGAAATTGAAGACTGATATTTGATGATATTAAGGAACTATTGTTCATTGATTGAGTTGTCATCATGGGGTTGGGATTATGTTTTTAAAAATTCCTTTATTAGAAGCACATAATAACCCTGTATTATGTATTTATTAATATTATTAATTTATTATTATTATAAATCCTTTATTAGAAATAAAAGGATTTTTAAAATCCTTTATTAGAAATTCCTTTATTAAAACCTGAAATAGTTAGGGGCCGGCTCCATGGCTGAGTGGTTAAGTTTGCGCACTCTGCTGCGGCAGCCCAGGGTTCGGATCCTGGGCATGGACACGGCACTGCTTGTCAGGCCACGTTGAGGTGGCGTCCCACATCCCACAGCTAGAAGGACATGCAACTAAGACATACAACTGTGTACAGGCGGGGTTTGGGGAGATAAAAGCAGAAAAAAAAAAAAAAAGATTGGCAACAGTTGTTAGCCCAGGTGCCAATCTTTGGGGAAAAAAAAAAAGGAAGATTGGCAACAGTTGTTAACCTAGGTGCCAATCTTTAAAAAAAAAAAAAAAACTGAAATATTTACACATGAAATGTCTTCCGTCTGGGATTCCCTTCACGATACTCCAGTGGAGGTGGGGCAGAAGGTGGGAGTATAGATGAAACAAGGTTGGCCATGAATGAGTTCAAGCTGGGTGATGAGCACATGAAGTCCTTAAAATTTTCCCCTTTCTTTTGTATGTGAAATTTTCCACAACAAAATTTTTTAAGAGTTTAAAAATCCAGTTTTAGCAAGGGTTTAGAGAAATGGTTTCTCTCATACACTTTTTGTAAATTGAGGTAATATTATGACATTCTACATGCTTCAAGTGAACAACGTCATAATTCAACATCTATACACACTATAGCACGCTTACCATCAAAAGTCTAGTTTCCATCCATCACCATACAATTGACCCTATTTACCCATTTTACCCATCCTCCAACCCTGTTCCCCTCTGGTAACTACTAATCTGTTGTCTGTATCTATGAGTTAGTTTTTGTTTTGTTTTGTTTGTTTCGTTTTTTATATTCCAGTTATGAGTGAAATCGTACAGTATTTGTCTTTCTCTATCTAACTTATTTCAGTTAGCATAATACCCTCAAGGTCCATCCATGTTGTCACAAATGGCAAGATGAAATCTTTTTTTATGGCTATTATTCCATTGCGTATACAATCATGTGCCACATAAGGAGGTTTCGGCCAACAAAGGACCACATATACAATGGTGGTCCTATAAGATTAGTACCACATAGCTTAGGCGTATAGTAGGTTATATCGTCTAGGTTTGTGTAAGTACACTGTGCGATGTTTGCACAAGGGAAAAATCACCTAACAGACACATTTCTCAGAACATGTCCCCATTGTTAAGTGACCCATGACTGTATACACCACATCTTCTTTATCCTTTCATCCATTGATGGGCACTTAGGTTGTTTCTGTATCTTGGCTATTGTAAATAAAGCTGCAATGAACGGAAGCGTGTGCATATCTTTTTGAATTGGTATTTTTGAATTCTTTGGATAAATACCCAGAAGTAGAATAGTCGGATATTAAGGGAATTCTATTCTCAATTTTTGATGAATCTCCAGTCTGTCTTCCCTAGTGGCTGCACCAGTTTACATTCCCACCAACAGGGTACGATGGTTCTCTTTTCTCCACATCCTCTCCAACACCTGTTGTTTCTTTGATAATAGCCGCTCTAACAGGAGTGAGGTGATATGTAATTGTGGTTTTGATTGGCATTTCCCTAATAATTAGTGATGTTGAATATCTTTTCATATACCTGTTGGCCATCTGTATGTCTTCTTTGGAAAAATGTCTATTTAGGTCTTCTGCCCAGTTTTTAATTGGGTTGTTTGTTTTTTGTTTTTCCAGGAAGGAAGATTGACCCTGAGCTAATATCTGTTGCCAATCTTCCTCTTTTTGCTTGAGGAAGATGGTCCCCAAGCTAACCTCTGTGCCAATCTTCCTCTACTTTGTATATGGGATGCTGCCACAGCGTGGCTCGATGAGTGGTGTGCAGGTCTGCACCCAAGATCTGAACCAGTGAGCCCTGGACTGCAGAGGCAGATCACACAAACCCAACCACTACACCACCAGGCAGGCCCCTGGGTTGTTTTTTTATTTGTTGTTGAGTCGTATGAGTTCTTTACATATTTTGGATATTAACCCCTTATTGTATATCCGGTTTGCAAATATCCTCTCCCATTCAGTAGGTTGCCTTTTCATTTTGTTGATAGTTTCCTTTGCTGTGCAGAAGCTTTTTAGTTTGATGTAGTCCCATTTGTTTATTTTTGCTTTTATTTCCGTTGCCATTGGAGCCAAATCCACAAAAACATCACTAAGCCTGATGTCAAGGAGCTTCTCCCCTATGTTTTCTTCTATGTATTTTACAGTTCCAGGTCTCACAAACACAAAGAAAAAAGCACATTTTTTTCACTTCTATTGACCAAATTTTGGAATAATTTGAGCATCAAGAAAACTAATGTAATAACTGATTCCAGCAAGAATCATTAATAGAGGCTAAAGCCATTGGATAAAGGTTGTCAGAGAATTCAGTACATATATGGAACTCAAAAATCACCCTACAGAGTACTTCTTATGACAAAACAGAAAAGGCACCCAGCTTACAACTGGTGGACACTACCTGAACCAAGTGATCAAACTTAACATGAGTATAATGAGAAAACGTCGTATGTGCCTCCTGATGTGGGGCGGTGGGAAGCATACACCATCACCTGCCAGAAACGCTTAACCCGAATCTAATCACGAAGAAACAATAAGGCAAACCCAGACAAGGCACGGTGTTCTATGTGATGACTGGCCTGGAATTTTCCAAAATGGCAACGCCGTGGAAGAAAGAAAGAAAGAGAGAGAGAGAGAAGGAAAGGAAGGAAGAAAAAAAGAAAGAAAGAGAGGGAAGGAGGAAGGAAAGGAGACTACTCCAGGTTGAAGGAGAATAAAGGGACAGGACAACAAATGCTATGTGTGATGTGAACTTTGTTCACATTTTTTAATACAATATACAAAATCAGTTGTGTTTCTGTATACTAGTAATGAAATGAAATTAAGAAAATAATCCCATTTACAACAGTATCATAAAGAATAAAATACTTAGGAATAAACTTAACCAAGGAGGCGAAAGATCTATACACGGAAAACTATAAAACGTTGCTGAAAAAAATTAAAGATACAAATAAATGGAAAGACATCCTATGCTCATGGATTGAAAGACTTAATATTGTTTAAATGTCCATACTACACAAAGCGATCTACAGATTCAATGCAATCCCTGTCAAAATCCCAATGGCATTTTTCACAAAAATAGAAAAAACTACCCTAAAATTCACATGGAATCTTAAGGGAACCAAAATTTCCAAAATAATTTTGAAAAAGAACAAAGCTGAAGCCCTCACATTTCTTGATTTCAAAACATATTGCAGGGGCACGGCCCAGTATCGAAGTGGTTAAGTTCTCACGTTCTGCTTCGGCAGCCCAGGGTTTGCCGGTTCGGATCCCAAGTGTGGACATGGCATCGCTTGGCAAGCCATGCTGTGGCAGGTGTCCCACATATAAAGTAGAGGAAGATGGGCACAGATGTTAGCTCAGGGCCGGTCTTCCCCAGCAAAAAGAGGAGGATTGGCAGCAGATGTTAGCTCAGGGCTAATCTTCCTCAATAAAAAAAAAAAAAAATGTTGCAAACCACAGTAACAAAAACAGTATGGCACTGACATAAAAATAGACACATAGACCAACAGAACAGAGTTAAGAGCCCAGTCATAAATCCTTGCATGTATGGTCAATTAGTGTTTGATGAGGGAGCCAAGAATACTCTGTGGGGAAAGGATAGCCTCTTTAATAGACAGCATTGGGAACACTGGATCATCACATGCAGGAGAATGAAATTGGGCCCCTATCTTACATCACTCACAAAATCAAATGGATTAAAGCTTAAAAATAAGCCCTGGAACCATAAAACTAGAAGAATACATAAGGATAAGGCTCCTTGACATTGGTCTTGACAGCAGTTTTTTGAATATGATATAAAAGCACAAGCAACAGAAGCAAAATAAGTAAATGGCACTACATCAACCTAAAAAGCTTTTGCATAGC